AAAAAAAAACATCAAAAAAGGTGCCAGAACGCCGTTCTGAGCATTCTATGAGAAAAAAAAGCCCTGCAGATTAGTCTTCAGATATCAAAAAGGAGGACATGTAGGAGGACACTTTTCAAGGGAGGACTGAACTCACAAAAGGAGGACTGTCCTCCCTAAAGATTGGTCACCTTAAGTTATGATTTCCAACAGGAACAATGGGTGATTTAAGCCTCTGTAATGTAACAAATTTTGTCCCTCAACACCATCATTCCCAAAATATGAGATAAATTAAAATTGGGGGTACCTCAATCTCAGGGAAATTAGAGCTTTTGAGCTTCTGATTTAGAGAAACTGCCTGGCTCTTTTTCTATGAAATATGTTAAGATCTGTTGGCTTAACTCTTACACTTATCATTTTTGTGAGATATAATAGTAATTGAAGTATAAATTCACATTTTAACATTCTAATTAAGCTATTCAGAACAGTACATCACATAATAATATGACTGCAATATACAGAATAAAAATGTGTGTACAAAAATAATTCTTAACATGATAACAGACTATAACAATATAACCAAATGAAACACTATATAACTCATGAAGATATAAAATCTACTCATACTCAATTCCAGCTAAACAAATAGGGATATGAGCCTGCATTTATAGCCATTTGTAGTGTCATGTGGTAATATGATCATGATTTACTACATGTTTCTGACAAAACTTGTCCTTTGCAGACAATACATTTGTTTAATGACCAGTGTTTAATTAACATCTGCAGTGTTCACTTAACAACTTCAGTGTTTCACTTAATTGACACCAGAAAAGTAGTCATAAAATCAGGCATGGTAACATGATGACTCACTTAATGAATGGCACAACTTATAACAGTCAGTCTGGACTCAGTTATGGTAGTACATCAAGGACTATCTATATTTTCAGTCCACCTACACCACAGGGGTGTTGCTATAGGAAAAATAGGAGGCAAGAATGCTAAGTACATTTGCCATAAAATATATATTTTACCAAAAAAATCAGGCTAAAAATAACATCAAGATCAACAGTTTTGAACGTCTTCTGATAGTTAAACAAAATATAAATATTTTGAATATTAGAAGAGTAGCTGGTACAGTAAAACAATTCATCTTACCTCTCTTATTTTTAATGTTTCTTCTAGATATTATTTTGATTTACTGTTATGTAAAAGCTACCGAAGATGGTAGAGGACAGGAAGACCTGGAGGAACGTTGTCCATGGGGTCGCGATGGGTCGGACACGACTTCGCAATTAACAACAACAACAAAAAAGCTACCATCAGTTACAAGGCTATACTGTCATTTTATTCTTAAAACATGTATGTGTCACTTGTATTGAATGTCAAAATAAAATCTTTATCTACTACAAAATTAATATGATGTCCAGGTTTCAGGTAGTTCATATTCTTATTTTATTCTGGAAGAATATATTAAATATAAGGAATTAAACATATATAAAATATATATAAAATAACTGCAGTGAAGAGAGAAGGCTTTTAACTAACCCAAAATTTATTGTTATGAGAATTGAGCAGGATTGTAAGTTTTTTAGCCTACTAGTAGGAGAGGATCTCAGTGATTGGCTAGAATTGAAAGGTATTAAATCAGAAAAATGAAAATTCTTATCTGTTTACATATATTTAGATGGCAATATATTATATGTTCTAAAACTATGATTACCTTTGTTATACATAGTTTACTGCTACATTGCAGTATAAACTTAACAGTGAACACAAACTGGTTTCTGTTCCTCGTAGTAGTAATATAAATGAGAATTTTTGTCCACATGAATCTCAGTAAATTTTAAGAAGTTTCTAAAATGTCCCAGAAAACATTTATTAATCATTCTGATTTTTCTTGTTGTATTATTTATATTGTTATTTTTATTTACTTTTATTTACTTACATTTATTCCATGCTAGTATTGTCTGTTCTGTCTATTGTCTATTCTATCTGTCTATTTGACAGATAGATAGGTAATGGATGGAAAGAGAGAGAGAGAAAGAAGGAAAGAAAGAGAGAGAGAGAGAGAGAGAGAGAGAGAGAATGGAACTTCTTTCATGCCAATGGACAGGAAATTGCTCCTCCTATCATTACAAAATTGATAAACAGCAAAATTGTGCTTAAAGGTTAGAGGATGAATACCTCAGATAAATAGCTCAGATTATTAAAAACTGAAAACAGGAAGGCAAACATTTTCTGTACTGTAGAAAATTGTATATTTGTAATAATAAATGCATAATACAAACAAACAAAATATACAATCAATATACTAGCTGGATCTCCTGACTGGACTGTAATTCAACAGGTACTAGAGATTTCTGAATGACTGTAATTAGTTTAAGAACATTCTAATTGGCAAGTAATAAATTATTTATATATATAAAAAATATTTGGCCTTCTTCATATTCCTAGTCCTATACACAGCCTTATATTAGAAAAAAATCAGATGTCCATGATTTTATACTCAGACTATTCTTGGTTTCATCTTAAATTATTTGACAGCAAGGTCCCAGAGTTTAATACAAGAGTCTTTTCCTGCCCTACCCAGAGGTTATGGGAATTGGAGCTATAATATTTTGCATAGAAAGCATGCACTTTATGGAATAATACTTTGTCATGGCGAAGGGGCTTGCATAACTCAATGAAGCTATGAGCTATGCCGTGCAGAGCCATTCAAGATGGACAGGTCATAGCAGAGAGTTCTGACAAAATGTGATCCACTGGAGAAGGAAATGGCAAACTACTCCAGTATCTTTGCCATGAAAACCCCATGGACAGTACTAAAAGGCAAAAAGATATGATGCTGGAAGATGAGCCCCTCAGGTCGGAAGTTCTCCAATATGTACTGGGGAAGAGCAGAGGGTAGCGCCAGAAAGAATGAAGTGACTGGGCCAAAGCCAAAAGGATGCTTAACTGTGGATATATCTGATGGTGAAAGGAAAGTCCGATGCTGTAAAGATCTTTTCTCCATAGGAACCTGGAATGTAAGATCCATGAATCAAGGCAAGCTAGATGTAGTGAAACAAGAGATGACAAGACTGAACATCGACATCTTAGGAATCAGCGAACTAAAATGGACAAGAATGGGTGAATTTAACTCAGATGACCATCAGGTATACTACTGAGGGCAAGAATCCCTCAGAAGAAATGAAGTAGCCTTCATAGTCAATAAAAGAATAGGAAAAGCAATACTGGGATACAATCCCCAAATGACAGAATGATCTCAATTCGAATCCAAGGCAAACCATTCAATATCACAATAGTCCAAATCTATGCCCCAACCACTGGTGCGGAAGAGGATGAAATTGACCGGTTCTGTGAAGCCCTACAGCACCTTATAGAATTAACACCAAAAAATGATGTCCTTATCATCATGGGGGATTGGAATGCTAAAGTAGGAAGCCAAAAGATAACAGGAATAACAGGCAAGTTTGGCCTTGGAGTACAAAATGAAGCAGGGCACAGGCTGATAGAATTTTATCAAGAGAATACGATGGTCATAACAAACACTCTTTTCCAACAACCCAAGAGACAGCTCTACACATGGACATCACCAGATGGTCAACATAGAAAGATGAAGAAGCTCTATATAGTCAGTAAAAACAAGACCAGGAGCTGACTGTGGCTTACATCATGAGCTTCTCATTGCAAAATTTAGGCTTAAATTGAGGAAAGTAGGGAAAAGTACTAGGCCACTCAGGTATGAACTAAATCATATTCCTGAGGAATATACAGAAGAGGTGACAAATAGATTTAAGGAATTTGATCTGATAGACAGAGTGCCTGAAGAACTATGGACGGATGGTCACAATAATGTATAAAAGGTAGCAACTAAAACCATCCCAAAGAAAAAGAAATGCAAGAAAGCAAAATGGCTGTCTGAGGAAGCTTTGCAAATAGCTGAGGAAAGAAGGAAAGCGAAAGGCAAAAGAGAAAGATACACCCAATTGAATGCAGAATTCCAGAGAATAACTAGAAGAGATAAGAATACTTTCTTAAATGAACAGTGCAAAGAAATAGAAAAATAGAAAAAAAAAACAGAATAGGGATGACCAGAGATCTCTTCAAGAAAATTTGAGATATGAAGGCAACGTTTCATGCAAAGATGAACATGATAAAGAACCAAAATGGCAGGGACCTAACAGAAGAGAAGAGATTAAGAAGAGGTGGCAAAACTATACAGAAGAACTATACAAGAATGAGCTTATCGTCCCAGATAACCACGGTGGGGTGGTCACTGACCTCGAGCCAGACATCATAGAATATAAGTGAAACGGGCCTTAGGAAATTTGAGCAACAAAAAAGCTAGTGGAGGTGACAGTATTCCAGCTGAGCTATTCAAAATCTTAAAAGATGGTGCAGTAAAAGTGCTACACTCAATTTTCCAGCAAATTTGGAAAACTCAACAGTGGCCACAGGATTGGAAAAGGTCAGTTTACATTCCAATTCCAAAGAAAGGCAATGCCAAAGAATGTTCAAACTATCGCACCATTGCTCTCATTTCACATGCTAGTAAAGTTATGCTTAAAATCCTACAAGTTAGACTCCAGCAGTATGTGGATCGAAAACTACCAGAAGTACAGGTAGGATTTCAAAGAGACAGAGCAATTAGAGATCAAATTGCCAGCATACGCTGGATCATGGAGAAAGCTAGGGAGTTCCAGAAAAACATTTACTTCTGCTTCATTGACTATGCTAAAGCCTTTGATTGTGTGGATCATAACAAATTGTGGTAAGTTCTTAAAGAGATGGAAGTACCAGACCATCTTATTTGTCTCTTGAGAAACCTATATGCGGGTCAAGAAGCAACAGTGAGAACTGGACACGGAACCACTGATTGGTTCAAAATTGGGAAAGGAGTCCAGCAAGGCTGTATACTGTCGCCCTGCCTATTTAACTTATATGCAGAGCACATCATGAGAAAGGCAGGGCTAGATGAATCAAAAGTTGGAATTAAGATTTCCGGGAGAAATATCAACAACCTAAAATATGCAGATGATACCACTCTAATGGCAGATAATGAAGAGGAACTAAAGAGCCTCTTGATGCGGGTGAAGAAGGAGAGTGCAAAAGTTGGCTTGAAACTCAACATTAAGAAAACCAAAATCATGGCATCCGTCCCTCTCAATTCCTGGCAAATAGATGGGGAAGAAATGGAGGTAGTGATTCTTGCTCCTGGGGAGGAAAGCTATGGCAAATCTAGACAGCATACTAAAAAAGCAGAGACATCAACCTGCCAACAAAAGTGCATATAGTCAAGGCCATGGTTTTCCCATTTGCAATGTATGGATGTGAAAGTTGGACCATAAGAAAGGCTGAGTGACAAAGAATTGAGGCCCTTGAACTATGGTGCTGGAGAAGACTCCTGCGAGTCCCATAGACTGCAAGGCCTTCGAACCAGTCAGTCCTAGAAGACATCAACTCTGACTGCTCTTTAGAAGGCCAGATCCTGAAGTTGAAACTCAAATACTTTGGCCACCTAATGAGAAGGAAGGACTCACTGGAGAAGAGCTTAATGCTGGGAAAGATTGAGGGCAATAGAAGAAGGGGATGACAGAGAATGAGGTGGCTGAATGGAGTCGCTGAAACAGTAGGCGTGAACTTAAATGGACTCCAGAAGATGGTAGAGGACAGGAAGACATGGAGGAATGTTGTCCATGTGGTCGCGATGGGTCGGACACGACTTCGCAATTAACAACAAAAAATCTTGCATGCATGTATGCATACATACATACATACATACATACATACATACATACATACATACATTTTTTCTAGGTCACCAGGAGAGTCAAGAACTGGTATAGAAAAGAAACTGACAGATTAATATATGTCATCAATTACCTGTCTATTAAAGGGTATATTTAAGAAATGCACTTCAACAGCATTCCTCTGAAAATCTGAATATTTACTAACATGACAGTTAAGAGGTGTTAATGAATGATTCATCTTTGATATTTGTATAGGCACCACTAAGAGCTACAGCTCTTCATACAAACCATTACAAACAGTGTGATTATATTGCCCATGCAAGAACAGGTGGAAGAGCTTGAGAAAATAATTTTACTTTGACTATGTAAATACATTTATGCAAATTGTCGTCTACATATTCTTTTTGCTAAGAAAAGTGAATTATTTGTATTCAGTCATCCCTCATTCTGAACATCAACTCAAAATAGTTATTTTGAATAGAAAAAACAAATTATTTGGGAATAGAAATAAATCTTATCACTCCAATTGAAAAGTAATTATTGATGATGCTGTAAGGCACGGGATCTCCTTTTTCATCTTTATCATTAGGTATGACTTCAAATTTCCACCTCTCCAGTAAGATTTCAGTACTGTTCTCAATATGTTTTAAAATCTTGAGAAGATTCTCCCCTTCATATCCTTTGGAAAAAGAAATGAAGCACAGTAATTTGAAATGGCAGATTTAGGAGCCAGGACACTGTCTCACTATTAATACATGAAAGATGCATTTAACCTAGGCCAAGCCATTAGCACCTATCTGTACCCCCTGGTTCTGTTTTAATGGCTTGCCACCATTTCAGCAGTGTGGGCAAAGACACTGGAACTGAAAGTACAGATTTAGCATCTTGTCCCTAATTAGGTAGTTCCACCATAATGAGTTGAAAATCAGCTATTACACTGCAAAACATAAAACAAAGCAACTAGCCCACCACAAATTTTATTAATAATCACTTGGCTCTGTTTATTGCTGAATAATTGCAAAATAATCATCTTCTATCTTAATTGCCCAATGCACAGTAGCAGTAAGTGGGTGAAAAAATGGTAGCAGTACTGAAGCAAGGATATCAAAGCAAAGTGCATTAATAGCACTATGTTAAGGAATATTCAACTATTACTCCAAGGTAAGATTTCACAGAAAAAAATAGGGACTTTGCTTCAATGGATATCAATATCTATATATCAATAACATGATTTGGACAATTCTGTCACTGCTCATGGGTCCTACCTATCAGAACATTCATACTCAATACAGAAAGAAAGGCCCAATCATGGAACATTATAACTGGATTAATATAATGATATTAAACATATAAACAAGTTAATGTTAAATCCTAAGTTATGGATGTCTATATATATATATATATATATATATATATATATATATATATATATATATATATATATATAAAGATATATATATATCTCCTAAGTTATGGATGTCTTTAGTATTTCATTTCTGTTATGCAAAGGGTACAGGTACTTTTATTTCTGCAATAGTATATATTTATTTTCTAAACGCTCCAGATGTTATCATAGCAGCCAATCCTACCAATCAGCTAGCAGTGCTTTTTTTGTAGAAAAAAAAAAGTGCCAGAACTCACACATGTTGTATAACCTGCCTTGCCTACCCTACAAGCTTCCATCCAAAAAAGGTGCCGGAACTGTGTTCTGGGCGTTCTATAATAAAAAAAGCCCTGACAGCTAGTATACAATTTGCAAGTTTTATGCTCATAATCCTTTATGCTTCTCTTGATAGATAACAGCTGGTATCCCTTTGTTCATGCTTAAGCCTCTTACAATGTCTTTAATAATAATAAAGTTGGAAGGAACCTTGGAGGTCATCTAGTCCAGTGGTTCTTCACCTGGGCGATTTTATTTTTCAGGGGGATGATGGAACAAAAGGAGCGACATCGGGGCAAAGAAACGAAAAGGGGGCAATATGGGGGCGATGGAGCGAGAAGTTTTGGGGACACTTTTGAGACTTTTTCATACAGTGAATCACTATATATCTGTCATACAAAAACATCAGATTGCTCGCTATTAGTGGATTGAATTGTGTTTTCAAACGTTCCTCCAGCTAGCTTCAGTACAGAACATTGTACATATGTGAATACACATTGTTTATCTTCATGCGTGTTGCGCAGCAGCCTCTACCCATACCCATTGGCTAGAATGGACAGTGATGGAGGGAGGAGCGCTTCTTTTGAAACATCGCATGCTGAGTGGCTGTCCCCTGGGACTTCAGCTGTAATGTCAACGTAACTGTTGAAACTGGGTTTATTGACGTCCACGTGTCTTTTTCTAGTGTTCCAGGGGAGTCGAAAATTTAATTTGCAGGTAGTGCCTTTCATTTTGAAGACCTCTCAACATGGCCAAGAAGAGGAAGTGTCGCCAATATTCGACAGAATACCTAAAATTGGGATTCATTCCATCTCCTTCCAAAGTACAGCTTCCGTTTTGTCTTCTTTGTGAGAAAACATTTTCAAATGAAGCGATGAAGCCTTCCCGACTGAAAGACCATTTGGTAAGAATTCATTCAGATAAAGCCAACAAACCGGCATCATTTTTCCAATCCTTAAAGACCAAGTTTGAGGGTCGCAGCACTGTTGGGAAGTTATTTGGAAAATTGTCACTCAATGCCGACAAGGGGCTCATTTGTTCCTATGAAGTATTTTTGTTGATAGCAAAATGTGGCAAACCTCACACTATCAGAGAAACACTGATTTTACCAGCAGTGAAACAGATTGTTACCACCATATTGGGGCCCAGTGCAAGCATTATCACGCAATCGATTCCTTTGAGCAATGTCACTGTATCAAAAAGAATTGATGAAATGGCTGCTGATGTGGAAGAAAGGCTTATTGACATCTTGAAAAATACAGAATTCATGATGCAGATTGACGAGTCAACGATTCGTGAAAATGAAGCCTTGTTATTGGCTTATGTCTGTTTCATCAATAGAAATGAAGAGATCGGGGAAGAACTGTTATTTGTTCAAAATTTAGCCACCGACACAAAAGGTTATTTGATATTTAAAAAGGTTGAAGAGTTTTTTAATGAGAAAAACATCCCTTTGACAAACGTCATGGCATGTGCAACCGACAGAGCTGCATCCATGGTTGGACAATAACGTGGATTTCAAGCTCATCTAAAATCGGTTGTACCTGGAGTTATGACTGTCCATTGCATCGTTCATGGACAGCACCTTGTCTCAAAAAATTTGAGTGGCCATTTGCACGAGTCTCTAAATTACGTCATTAATGCTGTGAACAAAATTAAGTCAAATGCCTTGAACAACCAACTTTTTCACAAGCTTTGTGAAGAAAATGACGAGGAGTTTGAACGTCTCCTTTTGCATACCAAAGTAAGGTGGTTTTCAAAAGGAAAGTGTTTGTGGCGATTCCACGAACTTTTTGACACAGTTGTCAAATTTCTTGAATCCATTGACGCAAGTCTAAGCAGTTCTCTTAAACTTCGACGTCTGGATGTAGCTTACCTCGCTGATGTTTTTGACAAGCTGAAGTGAAAGTAAAGCTGCAAGGAGATAAAATCAATTTTCTTAAGGCCAATGGAGTAATCTGCTCATTTATTTCCAAATTGGACCTCCTTGCAAGCAATATGAGTCGCCAGGAGCTATATCAGTTCCCAAGCCTTGGTAATGAATGTGAACTCCAAGGAGAAGATTTGGATGTTTTTTGCTGCCACTTGAAGCAACTAAAAGAAGACATGGAAACCAGATTCTATGATCTGATAAATCTGGAAGTGCCCGCTTGGGTGCTAAATCCTTTCACAGCAGACTTTGCACAACTTCATCCCAAACTGCAAGAGCCACTGACAGATCTGAAATACGACTATGAAGCCCAGTCACATTTTTAGAGTTATGGCTACAAAGCTTTTTGGGTGAAAATGAGGAACACTTACCCAATATTGTGGGAGGAAGTTAAGTTGCTTCTTTTGGCCTTTCCTTTCACTTACTTAGTGGAGAGGGGCTTCAGTGCTATCCAACAGATCCTTTGTAAGTCAAGGAACATGTTGAAGATCTCTGAGCGCGGTGATTTAAGAATGCGATTAACAAAAATGGTTCCAGACATCAAGAAATTGGCATCAGCTCACCAAGCACAAGGCAGCCATTGAAGTTCTTTTTTTTTGCTTTTTGTGTACATACATTTTTTTCATTAATAATTGTCTGAGCTTTTATCATTGTATTTGCTTGCATTGGATTTCATGTTCGAGTTTGAGTTTTCGGCTTAGTTTTCGAATTTTTGTTGTGCTCTGTAAAACATTTTGTGTGTCTCTTTGTATTGTACTTTTTAAGCATGCACTCCAGTTCGATATTATATTTTTTGTGTCTTTTTAATCCTTTTTACAGTGTGCGTGACTATATATACTTTCCTCCTTTTCGTCTTGAAATTCTTAGTTCCTGCATTGCGGTTTGTTCTTATGCCCTTTTTATATTTCTTTTTGCGTCTTAAATTTCACTTGTAATTCAATCATGAAATGTTACTGTTTTTCTTTCCAGGCATTTCACTTTCTTGCAATTGAATTTTGTTTTCAGTGGTCATTACATATAAGTGTCTTGAATAAATAAGATAATAATGAAATACATGTATCACAAAGTTTGGGAATAAAGTGACAGGTGGCAGCAAAATTTTTCACACAGTTGAGATATAGGAAAAAGACTGGAAATAAATTATTTGCATCGACATGTCCTGATGACAATTTTAAAGAAAACAAAAAAAGTATTGGATAAATTGAAGAATTATTTCCTATGTTGTGATTGAGAGGTTATGTTGGGAGAGGGGGGCGATGACAACTTCCTCATTGGCTCTAGGGGGCAATTCATTCAAAAAGATTAAGAACCACTGATCTAATCCAACCCCCTGCTCAGGCAGGAAAGCCTATACCATTTCAGACAAATGGCTGCCCAGTCTCTTCTTAAAAACTTCCAGTGTTGGAGCATTCACCGCTTCTGGGGGCAGGTTGTTCCACTGGTTATTTGTTAATGGAAGCAGATATCTTTTGAATGTGGAGATGCAGGAAGCCCAAATACAGTATTATAGTCCTTGTTTCTCACAATAATTTTAATGGTGTTTATGTGAATGTGTGTATGTTTGTGTTTGTATATTGATGAGTACTTCTGTTTGTATATTAATCTACATAGATACTGATGTGTAAAAGAGGAGCAGCCTAATGAAGGAAGGAAAAATTGTAAGGATTTTAAAAAACCCAAATGCTGTTACTCTATATCAGTCTTTCTAACAACTTATCTAATACCATAGTAATAACAGGCAACATTTCTATCAATTACTTTCTATGTAATATGAGAGAGACTGGCTATTGTCCAAACTAACTGTGCATATCCAGAGGGTTTATGAGAGGGAGATATATGTGTATGTGTGTGTATATACATACACACACAGAGAGAGAGAGAGAGAAATATCTTATACATACGTACATGCACACACACAAAAATACAGATCCATACAAATGCATGCACACATAAATGCAGCTCCTATCATTTTTTTTCCATACCTATAGTAAACCATTATCAGGCTCAGCCCAAGAACAACATAGAACTATCTATCCAAAGTTCATTTCTATATTTACTTACAGATAAGAAACAGAATCTTGCCAGATGA